GAATTTTCTAGATTCCACACCAAAGATGCATTTGGCTGGGTTTAACCTCATTCTATTCTGTCTAAGATTGTTGAATGTCTCCTCAAGATCGGTTAAGTGATCGTCAGCTTTCAAACTCTTCACCACTATATCATCAACATAAACTTCCAGATTTCATCCTATTTGAGCTCGGAATATGATGGTAACCATCTTCTGGTAAGTGGCGCCTGCATTCTTCAAGCCGAAGGGCATCATTACATAGCAATAGATCTCATCACCAGCATAGAACGAGGTTTTTTCTTCATCCTCAGGAGCCATTGGGACCTGGTGGTGGCCTGAGTATGCATCCAAGAGACTTAATCTCTCATTCCCCGAAGCTGCCTCAACCAGCTTATCAATGTTTGGCATTAGATAACAATCCTTTGGACATGCATCGTTGAGGTTAGTGTAATCAATGCACATCCGCCACTTACTGTTTGCTTTTTTCACCAACACCGGATTGGCGACCCACTCGCAGTAATCGACCCTTCTGACAAAACCAGCTTGTAGGAGTTTCTCAACTTCTTCTTTAATGACCTGTAACCTCCCCCCCCGAAGAGGCGTCGCTTATGGGCTACTGGTTTCTTGAGGGAATTGGTGCTGAGTTTATGTTGAAAAACTGAAGTGGGAATTCCTGGCATGTCTGTTGAAGTCCATGCAAAAACATCTTTATTGGCCCGAAGAAAAGCTATTAGCTCTGCTCTTTCCTCCGGGTTCAATTTAGTCCCAATTTGCATTTTCCGGCTCGGACCTCTGTCATCAATCTGCACCTCTTCTACATCTTCGACTGGAGCAGCTCTGGTTTCATCTTCTGGTCGGTTATCTACTATCTCAACACCCATAACTTGCCGATCATCAAGAATCCGTTTGGGATCAACCTTGGGTGTCTGAGTCTTGCCCTTCTGAGGTTGTGTTACCGAGGTGATATAGCAATGTCGGGCCACCTCCTGGTTGCCTCGCAGCGTTGCTATTCCCGTAGGAGTTGGGAACTTCATGCATAGATGAGATTGGGAAACCATAGCTCGGATTTCAGTCAGTGTGGGTCGACCAATGATGACATTGAATGAGGACGCCATCTTGACTACCAAAAACCTGACTGAAGGGGTCACATAACTTCGGCCACTGCCAAATGCAACATTCATAGTGAGGACTCCTTCAACTGGAACTGGTTGGTTGTTAAACCCGTAAATGGGACCATCATACGGCTGCAACAGAGCGGGATCTAACCCAAGACTCTCAAAACAATGGAAGTACATGATGTCTGGTGCACTCCCTATGTCAACAAGGACACGCTGCACTTCACAATTGTTGAGCGTGACAGAAGTAACTAGAGGATCATTGTGAGGTGTGACAACTGTTTCGAGATCAGCAGATGTGAAAGTGATGGGTTGATTCTTCCACTCAGCATCGTTAAATTTTCGCTTCTGAGCTCGGTTCTGATGCTTAACCTCTCTGACATACAGCTTTCGCTGCTTAGAGCTCAGTCCACCGGCTTCCAGACCTCCCGTAATCATGTGTATTACTCTAGCTGGTGGTGGGAGTGGGGGTGGAGCTTGCTGATATCCCACACCTTGTCTGTTTGGGGGATTGCGGATTGCTTGATGCTGTGACCCTTGTTCTCTGACAAACCTTGGCTATTCCACTCTCTGGATGTACTCATTCAACATTCCTTTCTGTGCCAGACTTTCCAGTTCGGACCTCAAACTATTACATTGCTCTGTTGTATGACCGTGATCCTGATGAAAATCACAGTACCTAGTATGATCTCTGGTAGCAGCAGCAGTTCTCATTGGACCCGTACGTCTTAAGTCCATCTTATTCTTAATCTGCATAAAGATTTGTGACCTCGGTAAATTAAAAGGAGTCCAATTAACTAGAGGTTTACCTGCAGGTTGTTGCGGAGGTGCTGAGTTCGGCCTTCCGAATCTCGAGGTCGACATCGGACCTCGGTTCTGTGTTGTCTTCATTCGTTTCCTGTTCGGATTCTCATCTCTCCAGTCCGGGTGTTGGCTCTTAGTAGGAGTTAGGTTCTGCGATAGGGGATATTCCTCAACAGTTATGAATTTCAACGATCTATCATTTACCTCGCTGAAGGTGTTGGCAAGATGTTTGAGCAGACTATCTCGGAACCTCTCATGGCCAAGACCCGAGATCACCGCTGTAATTCCCACAGCTTGGTCAAAAGAATTAACCTCCAGCACTGCATCATTGAATCTGCTCATAAAATTCTTCAAAGACTCTCCGTCCCTCTGCTTAACTCGCATCAGTTCAGAAGTGGTTTTCCTGATCAATCTTCTACTGGAAAACTTTGTGGCAAAAGTAGATGCCAATTCTATGTAAGAGTTGATTGACCTCGGAGGCAGACTGTAGTACCAGGTTCAAGCATTACCGCGGAGAGTAGAGGGAAAGATTTTGCACATTAACGCGTCAGAGGCATTCTGGGCCTGCATGCAAGAGTAGAAAGCATGTAGATGATCATCGGGGTCCTTCGTCCCATCATAAGTTTCAAGTTGTGGTATTCTGAAGCCAGTGGGATAGGGTTCCAATACAATATTGGTGTTGAGAGGGTGGGGTACGGAGTCAACAGCAGGGTATGGAGGTGGGGCACCTCGCTGTTCAACCACTAGCCTTTCTAAGCTATCTAGACATCGAGTGACATCATCATGAGGAGGTTGCTGAACTGGTGCAATGTGAGATTGGCCCTGAGATTCACTAACAGCGGGAGCACGTTGAACTGGTTCAGGATTTTGTGGTGGGGCTGGGGGTTGTGGTGGGGCAGGATTAAGTAGATTGATGAGTGGATCACCAGGATTGTTCCGAGCTAACAACTGAGCCAGCACTTGCTGAAAGACACCAAACTGCTGTTGCATGGCAGCGAGCTGAGTTGCAACTACATCTTGGTTAGCAGTAGAGGCTGAGTTGCTAACTGAATTGTGTGGTTGATTTTCGTCTTCTCCTTCTGCATGATCAACAGGAGGGAATGTATTTGGGATTGGGGGTGGAGGATGAGGTGGAAGGTTGCTGGGGACCTGACCTCGTCCAAGAGGCTGAGACGAGTTTCCACCTCGGGCTGACCTAGTTTTAACCATGGTAAGAGCAACAAAGGAGCCTTTAGTTCAGTTTCCCACAGACGGCGCCAAAATGTAACTGCACCAAACCAGAAGTCCTTCTTCAGTCCGTATCTGCACTCTGGATTAACCTGCAAAGCCCCGAGGTGGATCCTCGGGGTAGACACTCCGATGCTTAAGTCAGCAATAATCGGGGCTACCTTTAAAGCTTAGACACAAGGAGCTTATGGTTGGTTTCAATTACCTTTTGGCGTGGCCCTTAAAAGGTATTTATATGTTCCGATGCAGAATCCACGTGGCATGCCAATCAAGATGCCAAGCAAGATATCCGGGATCCGATGTGTATCTCCAGGCAGTTATTTCGGGACCGGGAGATTGAGCTAAGCAAAATATCCGAGATTTGATATGTATCTCCAAGCAGTTATTTCGGGACCGAGAGATTGAGATATATCTAGATACAAGGATGTCCATCGTAACTGCCGTGTAGCTATTCTAGCGGGAAGCTCTGAACTTACCCTTACAAAAAGATTTATTGAAAATTTTAAAAGATTCATTAGATATTTATTCGAGATTTATTAATAATTTTTATAATATAATAAGATTTTATAAGAATTACCATAATTTTAATTGTTAAGATATTTTGATTTTTTTTATAATTTTAATTTTTAAATCTCTTTTAAAAAAATTTTTAAATTTGTAATAGGAGATTTATTTTTTTCTCATCTAACTTTTCTTTTAAATTATAACTTAGTAAATAAGGCTCACAAAATAAAATTGTTAGCAGTAGAATTCCCATTCAAAATGAGTCCAAGCTGAATTTACCAACATGTCAAAAAAGTTTCAGTTGGTGTTGATACATGTGTATATGATGGAAGCTAACAATGCACATGCTACACATGATCTTTCGATATTAAAGATTGCCCCATTTCCTTAAACTAGAAAACTTAGAGGGTAAAAAGTAAAAACTCATATATTGTAAGATAAGGGGTAAAATACCTCAAACTCAAAAAATTAAAGGGCAAACTGTGGATTTTTGCCGAAAAATCGCCAAAGATGCAACAATACAAGTTTTACACATACAAGCATTGAATAAGAAGTCAAATCATGTTTGGACCTGGGACAATTAATTAACCTAAGACAGTTGTCTCCTAACCTTCAAAGTAGAAAATTCTCAACTAATAACTGCAACTTTAAGCGCTAAACTAAAGACTAACCAACGGCTATGGTTATTGCCGCACAATGTTTTATTAATGTTACATAATTTTTTGTTTAATTATTAAAATGATTTATCTAATTTGTACCATTAGAGTACATGTTAAAATATATTAAATATATTATTTCGTAATAAATTTTTATACAAAAATGTAAAAGTAAGACATTATAAATTTAAAGTTTATAGTAGTTGATAAATTTAAAATTAATTTTTATTTTTTTATGTAAATTAATTACAAAAATATGTAATTAATGTTTTCTTAATTTATATTTTTAAGGCACTGGTTAGAGAAACTCTTATTAAATTAAATAGTTGATAATTGTAGTTATTACTAAATAAATAATTAGTGTTTATTATTTAATAAAACAAAATTAATATATAAATTAATATTTTTAAATGTTATAATTAAATACTTTTTAAAAATAATTATAAATTAATAAAAATTAGTCAAACTAAATATACCTTCTGTATTCTTAGTGTGACTTGACAAAAACTGTGTAGCGATAACCTACCCCTTAACTTACATGCAAAGGGTAAATGAGTGTGGTTACTACTACCAGATATAACAATATCAAGGCCACACAAATTTTGCTTCTTATTTTTTAAACAATTGATTTGGATGCTTTGAAATGTTAATTTATAATTAATTTGAATTTATTAATTAATAAATATTAATTATTATATCAATTATTAACTAAAAATAATAGTTATCAATTAATACTCTATATTATTTAAATTAAATTAATATTTATAAAGGCAATATTAAAAAATTTATACATGGCCATTATATGTCATGTGTGGCCATACCCATATGCAAAGTAGACATTTCATTTTCAAATTAGATATTGATATAGAAACAATATTTTTATATAATATTTTTTATAATTTTTATATATTATTAAATAATAAATATATTTAATATAATAAATTTTAAATAATAAATATATTTAATATAATAAATTTTAAATAAAAAAATTAATTATGTGAATAATACATTAAATTCTATTCTTAAATCATTTTACCATCACAGCTGTCAATCCTACGGATCACCTTATAATTGTCCAGCGAAGCTTGTTTCATCTTCCTAGCAAGTAGGGTAGTTACGGTTTGTTTCTAGTTACAATCGAAACCAAATCAATGGTTGAATAAATCTTTTTGGTTATTATTTTTTTCTTTTTGAACGGTTTGGTTACCAATTTTTAGTAACCGATGATCAAATCAAAATTATTGATTTTTTTTTGTTACTTTTTTTTAAAAAATAATCATACGGTTTGATTTTGGTTTAAATTAAAAAACCAAAAAGTTAAATTTAGCCAATATTTAGAGAAAAAATGGGTGGGAACAAGAGGAGAGTGCCAAAAAAAAAAAAAGATTCACAAACATTAAATTTAAAAAATAAAACTTAAAAAAATGCCCAACAATTTTGAAAAATGACCGCCTAAATATCATTAAATTTCTAAAATCAAAGTCCGAAAATTTTGGTTATACTTAGCTTAGTATTAGGTTTTCAATTTTTAAACTACAATAATTAAAAGAAACATAATTTAAAGATAATTTTTTAAATTATTTTTTATATATTTTTACATATTATTTAAATAATTAATTTTTTTATTTATTTGACTTTTATAATATTAATTATATTTATTTATTGGTTTAATACCCAATTTGGTCCTTAAACTTTCATTATAGAACTTAATTCATCCTTTAACTTCAGAAAGCACTCAAGTGATCCTTTAACTTTATTTTTCAGTAACCCAAATGGTCCTTCCGTTAACAGATCGCATACCTGGCACGTTTAAGTGTCCAACAATTACCATTTTTAATTTTTATAAGCTTACCTGGAAAAAACAACTCAGCAAATTAATTAAGTGGCACTATTTTCATTCCACCTCACATTTTCGCCTATAAGGGGATTTAGTCGAGGGAGATGAAGAAGCCGCTGAAAAGGAGGAAGTAGGCGAGGATGGCGACTACTACAGTGAATCCGAGCATGACATGGGAGACGACGCCGGAGAGGAATGTGATGAAGGAGCTTTCGGCCTAGAAGGAGGCGAAGATGGTGAGGAAGAAGAAGAGCAACCCATGGAAGCCATCGGCAAGTCCTACCGTCCAGAAAGTTATGGCGGCGAAGGAGATGGAGAGGACGATTAAGGAAGGGATGGAAATTATGGAGTGGGCGAGGACGTAGGATGATCGGCGGTAGGCATTGTAAGCTGTTTCTCTCATGAAGATGTAGCGTTCTTGGAGGAAAACAGGGATGGCTTCAGCACAGGTGTAAAAGTTGGTGGACATGGCGAAGGCGAAGAAGCCAATTTGTTCTCGAACCCCTTTGGGGGAATTGTCCAGGTGCCAGAATATCGTTGCCAAGATGAATAAGGTGACCACAACGGCGCCCAATCGGATTCCGAACAGTTCAGGCATTCTTCTTGAGTTCGTCATCGATCTTTTAGCAATGACAATCATTTCATTCCAGAACGGATTCGCAAATGTGGGCATTGAAGAAGTCAAATTGGAATCAGTGGTGGCTCCGGAGACTAATTTCGCCCGGTAAACGCTTGCACTGATGGCCACTTTGAGTGAAACACATCAGAAGAAAATATGGTGATTACTTTGGTATTACTGTTGCTGGTTATCAGTTGTTCGATTAAATTCTTCTTACAAATTTTGCCTTTTGTTTTATTAGCCTCTATCTATTTTGCTTTACCAAAAATTGAAAAGATCATTGTTTCTATAAGAATCATATCACCCCATAAATGGGAATTCAATCGAGCTATTGAGATTACTGGTTTTCGTAGTTTGCACTGCGGCGCATCGTGCGTTTGCTCGGAGGACCGCCTCCTGGTTGGAATGACTCTAGTTCGAGATGCCGTCGCTCAAGAAGCCTATAAGCCTTTTAATTTTGTACTGAAAATAATTGATGAACAATTCGTTTTTTTTTTTTTCCGTGATTTATTTTTAATTTCTGGTTTTGAATATTCACAGTTTGCCGGCATAACATCTCCACAGAGGATTCGGCGCCGGAGAAGACAACTGGCTTTTTCAATTCAAGGTAAGATTTCAGATTTTTTTTTATAAAATTAAAAAGAAATTTATGTATTTTAATGCACACTATATATATTGAAAGTGTAATTCTTACGCTAAAATTATTAAGTCTGTTTTTCGACGAACTTGTTTCTGGGATTTATTCTGTTCTGCCATGACCTGTTGAATTCCACCAAGCTTTTCGCTCCGTTGGGGGTTTCTTCCAACTCACGAATCAAATCCAGTGCGAACTAAGTCCAATTCTCATTCTCCAGAATCGGATGACCAAATTAGCCGAAGAAAAGGGAGAGGTTCGTCGGAGAGCCGCTGTACACCGTCTGTGAGGTGGAATGAAAATAGTGCCACGTAATTAATTTGCTGAGTTGTTTTTTCCAGGTAAGCTTATAAAAATTAAAAATGGTAATTGTTGGACACTTAAACGTGCCAAGTATGCAATCTGTTAACAGAAGGACCATTTGGGTTACTGAAAAATAAAGTTAAAGGACCACTTGAGCGCTTTCTGAAGTTAAAGGATGAATTAAGTTCTATAATGAAAGTTTAAGGACCAAATTGGGTATTAAACCTTATTTATTTAATAACATGTTAAAATTATATAAAAATTTTATCCAACCAAAACCCCCTTATTGAGATTCGGTTATCAGTCAAATTTAACCCAACAATTAAAATTTGGTTTAATATAATTATAGTTTTGAGTTTTTAATTTTAATTTTAAAAATTTTTGAATAAAATTGAGAAATTTTTTAAATTAATTAAATTTAAAAATTTAAGTATAATTTAAAATTTTCATATATAATATAATAATTTAAATAATTTCATAGTTATTTTTTTTATTAAAAATAAAAAATATGAATTTAAATCACCTAAAACTTTCATTAAAAATAAAAAATTTTAAACTTAAATCGTAATCAAGACCATAAAAAAAATTTCACATATAAAAAATTATCAACTTTAATTGTAAATTTTTAATTTTAATTATTTAAATTTTTAAAATTTAAATAAAAAACCAACCATTACTATCAATGCCAGCGTAAGATTTCAATTGATTTCAGAATTGTTCAGTGTACAGCTTTTTCCTCGACTCACGTACTTCTTGTGTTTTCTCAATTTTAGCCTAAGCCCAGCGCGTCAATTCACGTGCCTTCACCTAGGATCCTCTTAACCCACCACCCCCAAATGGTCATTCAAGTGATCACCAGCTGGCTAGGTCCACTGTTCCCAATACGATAATATCCAGTCTGGCATCCCCATGATCCAAACTTCTATGACCCCCCCTTTTCCCATTTTATCCTCCTCTTTTTTCAAAAATAACCCGGACGAGAAGGTTATTTCAGTCAAGACAAGGGCTGGACACTGTACTATGGCATGGCGAGGGGAGGGGATGGGATGGGATGGGTCGAGCTGGGACTGGCTTCTTTCCACGAGGGAATCCCTTTTTTGGAAAACGAATTTCGGTAGCGCGTGATTTCAACGGTTGATTTTTATTAGTTCGTGAACACAAACGCCTTGGAAGGAGAAGAAGAAAAGTGTTTCTTTTTTATTAAAAACGCGCTAAATATTGCCGTTGCGTTGTTTCTCTTTTTCTTTCCCTTACGGACTCGTAAGTGGCAGAGTGCCGGAGTCCATCTAAATTGGGCAAAAACTTATTTAAACCTCTCTCCTCGTTATGTTTAAAGGTTTTAATTTTTTATTTTTCATTTGATTAAATTTATAGTTTTTAATTCATCATTTTACATTATAACATGTTTAGTTCCTTACTTATTAAAATTAAAAAAAAATTTTCATTTTATAATATTTTATTAGTTTTATTAATTAACTATTAACTTTATTAATTAATTTTTAATTGACTATTAATTATCAAAAATCTTGTTTCAGTTAATAAAATTAACAGAACTAATTTTATAATATTTCGTTAATTTTGTTAATTAGTTATTAGTTGATTATTAGTTGATAAAAATTTATTTTTAATTAATAGAATTAACAGCCAATATAAATGAAAATTATTTTTTTTATTTTAATAAGTAAAGAGCTAAAACCTATAAATTTAATAAAGTAAGGGGTTAAAACCTTCAAATTTGATAAGGTGTGAGGTTAAAAGTAAGTTTTTACCATATAAAATCCAATGGTTTTTTTTAAATATATAATTATAATGCTTAACAATGTTATAATTTTATAATATAAAATAATACAATATATTATTATATAATATAAATAATAAAATTTAATTTAATTTAATTTTTTAAAATAATATAAATATAATGTTATAAGATATTATAATTTTATTTTTTATATTAATTATAAAATAAGAGACAACTTTTTTATCATTTTTCTATTCACATATCATATAACTTAAAATTAAAATTTTTTATTTTTAACCAAAAATAATAATTATTTAACTATTTAAGTAGTTCATAATATTATAATATTATATAATATTATATAATTAATTTTTTTACTTAATATATTTATCTATAATATCATATCATTTCTCATTTAATTCATAATATATCATGCACATCACATATTTTATAAACTTATGTCTGAGTCACATTTTTTTTTCTTCTCATTTCCCGGCATCTTCTTTTTTTTAAAAAAGAAAAAAATCTACTACTACAAATTTGAAGTAGGAAGAATTAAACCGAATCCTTAAGGCTGGAAGTTCGCCTTTTTTTAAGCCTCATAGGCAATGGACCTAGAAGGCCTAAGTGTTTCCATGCAGCTTCTCTTAATTTTATTATTTAAAAATTGTTATAGTAGTAAATTAAAAACAAAATAAAATAACCCATTTATTTGCCCTATATATACACCCTTCTCAATCTTCAGAATTCCACACTCGAACACAAAATATATATCTAGTCACTCTCTTCTTCTTCCTTACTCTCGATTTCTCTCTTCTAATCCATTTGAGTTTCCTTGATTCTTTTAAAAATGGCTTTTTCTGTTACTCAATGTCGTCTGTTAAAAATTTTCCTTTTGATTTCTCTGTTTCAAATTTCTCTGGCTGGGAGGCTGCTGAGTGAGGTGGTGCAGGACCAGCCTCAGCTCTTGAAATACCACAATGGTCCACTGCTTTCCGGTAAAATCACCGTCAATCTGATTTGGTACGGGAATTTCAAGCCGTCCGAGAGAGCTATTATCTCCGATCTTGTCACCTCCCTGTCGTCTTCAGCTCCTCAAACCAGCCAACCTTCCGTGGCTACATGGTGGAAAACCACTGAGAAGTACTACCGTCTCACCTCCAAGAAGGCCACGCTTTCCCTTTCCTTGGGAAAGCAGATTCTCGACGAGAGCTGCTCGCTGGGGAAATCATTAAAGAACAAGCAAATCGTGGAGTTGGCTTCAAAGGGTGACCAGAAGAACGCGATTAATGTGGTTCTCACGGCGGCCGATGTCGCTGTTGAAGGTTTCTGTATGAGCCGCTGTGGGACTCATGGGTCTGCTGTGGGCTCCGCCGAGGGCACGAAGCACTCCAAATTTGCATACATTTGGGTAGGTAACTCAGAAACGCAGTGCCCGGGTCAATGCGCTTGGCCGTTCCACCAGCCGATTTACGGACCACAAAGCCCACCTCTCGTCGCACCCAACAACAATGTGGGTCTTGATGGCATGGTGATCAATCTGGCTAGCTTGTTAGCCGGGACCGCCACCAACCCCTTCGGGAACGGCTACTTCCAGGGCCCAGCTGAGGCCCCATTGGAGGCTGCATCCGCCTGTCCCGGCGTTTACGGCAAGGGAGCTTATCCGGGCTATGCTGGAAACTTGTTGGTGGATCCTACAACCGGTGCTAGCTACAACGCACATGGTGACAATGGAAGGAAGTACTTGCTTCCGGCTTTGTATGATCCTGCGACGTCGTCTTGTTCAACCTTGGTCTGAGATTGTAGTGGGCAATGAGTAGTATTTTATTACACGGTTTATAAATCAAAAAAAAAAAAAAAATCATGTAATTCATTGATTTGTTAATTTGTTTTGGTTATGAATATTAATAGTAGACTAGCAAACCACCTGAGTTTGTATTTTTCCGAAATTCCAATCTTACTTTTTAACGGACCTTTGTGCAAAATAATTTGAAGAATATAGCCTTTATAAAAACCAATCTTAACCAAAAGAATTTGGTTGATGTTGTAATCACCAATATAAAATTCTCAATTTAATCGGGTATTATGTGACTAAGTGGTCACTTTTTTATGAAAATATATTTGAATGTGAAAATTTTAAAATCTATTTTTAGGTGTTACTTTTTTTATCCCAACAAATTTTTTAAGTAAAAAAAAAATTCTCGATTATGTTAGTAAATTAAATAAGTCATTAATAATTATTTTTTAATAAAATTTTAAAAAAATAAAAATTTTTTTTTTTTACAATTTATGTTCAAAATAAAAATTTTATTCGTATACTTCCACTATTAATTAACTTTTCAATGTATAAAACTAATCTTAAATTCAAATTTAATTAAAACAGCAATCTTGGGGAAGCTAGTGGTGGTGCGAGTGTAGAGATGGAGTAAGTGGGAAAATCTAGTAATGGACCCTTCCTGCCAGCTACAAGTTCTAAACAACTGTCATTTTCAAGGAATTGGACATACAATAATTCAAAATGCTTTTGTTGCCTGGCACATGTCATGTATTCTTGTTGCACATTACCCATGAAAACTCGTTTAATTATTTGGTTAATAATAAAAATAATAATGTAAATAAAGAAATGAGGGGAGGATCTAGTCTTAAATTGGTCGGTCCCAAGGACAATGAGTCCAGCAATAGTACAGGTTATATTTACATTAGTATATATGATTAAAGAAAATCTTTTAGGTTGTATTGAATTGAAGGTGAGGCAAGTATTTAGCTTCTGGCCCTCTCAACTAATTTCAGCCTCAATGGTCGCTGAAAATTGATTTCACACAAATTTTCAGACTCAGAGAGTGACAAATGAATCCAGCTGGCTGTGCATTTTGTTACTTTTTTTCACTATCCCTTCTTTAAGAAGAAGAAGAACCAAGTCTTTCATTGTGTTTCCTTCTTTGTCACATTGCCATTTTCATGCCAGCAATTTTTTTTTTTTTTTTTAATCTAACCAAACACTCGGGATGGACATCCATGTGCCCAACATGGCTTGTTTTCTTTTCTCTTTCTTTTTGTTGGGGTTTCTTGAGCGAGAATAAGAGCGCTTTTTCTTTTGCACGTTAGCTTTTGAACTATAAAATCAAATTTAAATTATTAGATTACTAAATATTATTAAAGGAATTAAATTAAGCTTGAAAATGGCTTATAGAGAAAAACCATAAATGCTTTTAATAGAGAAATTTGTACTGATTTTAGTGTAATAGAAAATTGATGAAGTGCAGTCTATCCTCAATAGATTGCACTTTTAATAACTATTAATTTGACCGATCTTCTTTAAATGAGTAATCATTCAAAAATTATCTTACAATCAATATAAATAACTATTAATTTGCAATGGATGCAGTGTCACAAAAATTAAATTTAAAAATAAAACTGATGCGGTGGAGAAGTTTAAAACAATTTCATTTTTCTTTGAACCTTTTGAAACAAATAGAAATGCATACATATATATAATAATATATATTTTTAATTTTTTAAAATAAATTAAAATATATAATAACATATCCCTTTATTTATAAGATATGGGTATATGGTTGTTTTTTCCCATACAAGATATTCAAAAAAATATTTTAAAGTTTACACCACAAAACATTAATTATTAGTAAATATCCTTTCATTTAATAATTCATATTCTATAATTTAAATTTTTGATTTTCTTAACTTATACCTTTATATTATATATTTTTTATATTAATTAATATTGAAAAAAAATAAAAATTGACTTTTATTTACGTAATTATTTAATTAAAATTATTCACATAATATTAATAATAAAATTAATGATAAATTTTTTATTTTTTAATATTAATTAATATAAAAAATATAATAATTACATCCTTAACTTGAATATAAATTAAAAAAAAAACTCTTAAAATTTAAACTATAAAACTAAAGTCACTCCCCAAAAAAAAAAAAAGAAAAAAAAAAAGGAAATAAATAGAGATAAATAAGAGAAGTTGTAGGGAATTAATAACCATCCAAAAAGCCATGAAAAAGGTAACTTGTAACATAGCTTCAACTTGTTCATTGGTGGGACATTCTAAATTTCCAAGAGCTAAAGCCATCCCCCCTTGGGCCAAATACACCCACGCGACAGTCAGGACTAAGGAAGGCACATCTCCTGGTCCATACCCCATGCATACATTGGACGCGTTTCGGTTTGCGCGCAAATCCAACCTGCCCCCCACAGGTTCTCGTTTCCTCTTCAGCATGTCCCACTGTCCCTTTTATCCCCGCTCCCAAATTAGCTGGCTTAACGCTGCAGCACCCAAAAACTGTTAGATTAATAAATACCCACGCGTTTCCCCCAACTGGCGTTTCCCAGCAGCTTCCAGCACTCACAGTATCTGCCCCCACCTCCCCTCACATCATCAATATATAAATACCTTCTTCCCTTCCTCCTCCCTCCCATCAAATCCTCTGCTCTCACCTTCTATCTCTCATTAGCCCACTCAATTGAGCTCGAATTCATCTTCCATGGCTTCCTCTGTTCTCGTTTTCGTTCTAGTTGTCTCTTTGCTATCCAATTCAGAAGCAAGGAGACTCTCTGAGTCCGATCAAAGCCAGCAATTAGCCTTCCAATATCACAATGGCCCTCTTCTCACTGGTCCAATCTCTGTCAACTTGATATGGTATGGGAAATTCAAGCCTTCTCAACGTGCAATCGTCTCCGATTTCATTTCCTCCTTGGGCTCCTCTGCCAAGCCCGCCGTAGCTCATCCTTCCGTGGCCACATGGTGGAAAGGCATAGAGAAATACTACCAGTTGGGAAAGACAAAGAAGCATTCTTCTCTCTCTCTTTCACTGGGTGAACAGATTATTGATGACAAATACTCTTTGGGGAAATCGCTCACGAACAAGCAAATTATACAATTGGCATCAAAGGGTGCCCAGAAATATGCTATTAATGTTGTGTTGACGGCGGCTGATGTAGCGGTTGAAGGGTTCTGCTCGAGCAGGTGCGGGACTCATGGGTCTGCTTTGGGTGCAAGCAAAGTGGGTCACATTAAGGGGAAACAATCCAAGTTTGCTTACATGTGGGTGGGTAACTCGGAGACTCAGTGTCCAGGCCAATGCGCTTGGCCATTCCACCAGCCCATCTACGGACCACAGAACCCACCATTGGTTGCACCCAATAACGACGTGGGCGTCGACGGTATGGTGATCAATTTGGCTAGTCTCTTGGCCGGAACCACCACAAACCCCTTTGGAAATGGGTACTATCAAGGACCGAAAGAGGCTCCACTTGAGGCTGCATCCGCTTGCCCCGGTATCTATGGCAAAGGGGCATATCCGGGTTACGCCGGCGACCTATTGGTGGACTCTACTACGGGTGCAAGCTACAATGCAAATGGTATCAACGGACGAAAGTACCTACTTCCTGCCCTGTTTGACCCTGCAACCTCATCTTGTTCCACTCTCGTCTGAAAGACATCAAAAAGTCAAAACTACCTGCGTATATAATACCATTGTATTAAATATTATCCAAATTCCTACCATGGTTATGTATAAGATTCTTTGATTCTATTATTCATCATTAAAAAAAAATACATGAGTTTTCTCCTATTTTTGTTTTCATATAATTTCCTGTAAGCACCATTTTTCTCCCTTTGCGACTGGGATTCAAATCCAACTCTGAAATTGAGGAAAGATGAACAAACCATCTGGGTTTTCATTACATGTGCCAGCCTAATATTGCATTCCAAAAGGGGTAAATTGCACAAATAGTCACTGACCTTCATCATAACTTTCAGTTTGGTCACTCTCCTTTTAAATTTAATGCAGTCACTCACCTCTGTTTTAACCTGCTCTGTTAATCGCCCTCCGTTACATCCCCAAATCGTTATATCCCCAAATGTCATTAAGTGAGATAACGAAATTGGCTTGGACCAAGAAAAAATTGATGACTTGGTGCTTCCACTTTTGTTTAACTGAAGTAATATTAGAGTATAAATTTATTATGCGGGGTTACATACCAATTATTTAATATTTTGTTAACACTTTTATTTTTATTTCTAGAACAATAAACAAAGCTATAGATTGATTATAGAGATATTTTTGTATGATAGATATTGAGTACAGTTATACATGGTTATTAAAATTGTAAAATACTATATTTAAAAATATGATTTTATTTAATTTAACTAATAAAAATGGTTAATAAATGTAACTATTAGTTCATAATTGATGAAACAATTAATATTTATTAGTTAACAAATTAAAATGAGTAAACAATTGATATTTTCAAATATTGTTTAAAAAAAACTAAAATTTTAATGACTTTAACAATATTAATTGTGATAATAACCACACATATGAATGTTCTTATTAAATTTATAGAAGAGTTAAAGATCTAATAAAATAGATACTTTGTAAAGAGTCTTTGCATTCGTAATAAAACAAAATAAAATATGTTGCTTTAGGTTTAATCATATACCCATAAGGATTGGGATTAAATTATGTATTTTTTTATTGACCTATTTAAATGTTCATACATGTAACTTATTTTTATTTTTTATCTATTTATTTTTATGATAAATTAGTTTTTATAATTAAATTAAAATTTATATTTTATAAGTCGAACTGTGTTTATTGAAATTATTAAAATACTTTTAGTAAATTTTTTTTTTTCATTTTTAATAAAATTAGTCATCAAAATTTTACTTGGCCCACGCCCGCTTGTCACCTCACCTAACAACATTTGGGGAGATAATCTAACGACATGGAGGGAGATAACGTGAACTGATTAACTGGGCATGTTAAATTAAAAGTGAGTGACTAAATTTGCAAATTTAAAAGGACAGTGACTAAATTGAAAGTTATGATAAAGGTCAGTGACCTTTTGTAAAATTTACCCTTCCAAAAGTGCATTCCTTATTTTGCCACAGGTAGTAGGATCTAAAATATTCTCACACTTTGCCTATGATGCAAATGAATTTTCTCATATTAACAAGGGTAAGAATATAAATTACTAGGTTGATTCAAGTGATATCGGGTATGGTAAATATGTTGAAATACCAGTTCTAAATCCTCTATCATCATTTGAGTTTAAATAATTTTAATTAACCTTAAATGAAGATTAACCCATTTGAATCTTCTTTTCTATGGAATCTTTCTATTTCACCCACAACTTACTTGAGGTAAAAGCCTTAAATCTGTTGAGATAAATTGTTTATTATTTAACAATTAATATCATTAAATATTAGCTTTTAGTTAAATAAAAGTTTAAGTGGTAAGTGAATTCTGAACATATAATACCATTATTTTTTAAATAATTAATTATTTGTTTTAATTAACAATTTTAAAAAATAATTTGTTCTTACTATTTTTTTTCTAAGGTTGAATCTGCTCTAATCTCTTATTTGGGGCAGATTTGGTAGTTCGCTTATTTGCTTGAAGATGCAATTTTTTTTGGGTGTCATTTGTCACCCAGCTGATTAACAACATAGTGGGCAAAAATCATTCAGCGTTTTTAATACAAAAGACAGTACAAGTCACATATATACATTACATATTCAATTACTTCAGCACGATGTATACAAACCATAACATTATTTTGCAATCTGATTCTTTAATCATTAATTTTGGAGAAGAAAGGCCTTACCTTCAAGAGACTTCTCATTGATCATAATCATTATAGTTGTCCAATTCACCTCAAGTTAAATTATACATAACTTTTTTTGATATATATAAATTTTAAAAAAATTATATCGAAACTCTATATGCACATGAGTTGAAGATTGTTGGCTCTCAGTCTTTAATTTTTTTTACCAACTCACTCGACAGCTCATTCACGGCAAAAATAATTTATAATCATTTTATCTTGACAAAAATGCATGATCTAGATTTGATGGGAGATAGTTGGACACCATAGAGGTGAAAGTGACCCACCCTACACATTTAGGTAAATTTCATTATAAAGCCTTTGATGTGGCGCATTAGAACTCTAACATGAAATGATAGACACCTGATGTGTCAATTTTTATTGACTTTGTAAAGAGGAAATTTTTTCAGGGAGCGACTTACATACATGGGAATTGGATTGGCCACAATCCCACATTGACCCAGCCGAAAAACCTGAAGGCATAAATTAGTCCCCTATCTCAAGAGACGCGTTTCGCCTACCTCAAATCTGCCCTCCCCACCACCCGCAATGGTGGCCCTCCTAAAGGGCAAAAACTGTTCCATTAATCCTAACGCGTTAATATCTGGTTTGGGCTGGCATCAAAAAGCACTGAGTTTCCAAGCAATTTCCAACACTCCCACATCGCACCTATAAATACAATCCTCTGTTTTCTCCTCCCTCCATCCAAACCCTCTCCTCTCTTTAGTTATCTCACTCCTTTAATCACATTTTCAATTTCCATGGCTTCCTTTGTTCTCTTTTTCGTTCTTTTGCTCACTTTTCTTTCCAATTCAGAAGCAAGGAGACTCACCGAGTCCGATCAAACGCAGCAATTAACCTTCCAATATCACAATGGCCCTCTTCTCACTGGTTCAATCTCTGTTAACTTGATATGGTACGGGCAATTCAAGGCTTCTCAACGTACAATCGTTTCCGATTTCATCTCGTCTCTCAGCTCATCTGCAAATCCCACCATAGAAAAGCCTTCCGTGGCCGCATGGTGGAAAGGGATAGAGAAATACTACTCCCTTGGAATGGGGAAGAAGCTTTCTTTTCTTTCTCTCTCATTGGGTGCACAGATTCTTGATGAAAACTATTCCTTGGGGAAATCTCTCACCAACAACCAATTAGTGCAATTGGCATCGAAGGGTGCCCAGAAAGACGCCATTAATGTTGTGTTGACGGCCGCGGATGTGGGGGTCCAAGGGTTCTGCTCCAGCAGATGTGGGACTCATGACTCTGCCCTGGGATCAAGGAAGGGATCCAAGTTTACTTACATCTGGGTTGGTAACTCAGAGACCCAGTGCCCGGGTCAATGTGCCTGGCCATTCCACCAGCCCATTTACGGACCACAGAACCCGCCTCTGGTGGCACCAAACAACGATGTGGGTCTTGATGGTATGGTAATCAATTTGGCTGGTCTATTGGCTGGAACTGCCACTAACCCCTTTGGAAATGGGTACTATCAAGGACCAAAGGAGGCACCCCTCGAGGCTGCATCCGCGTGCCCCGGCATCTACGGTAAAGGGGCCTACCCTGGTTACGCCGGTGACCTGTTGGTGGACGGTACAAGCGGTGCCAGCTACAACGCCAATGGTGTCAATGGAAGGAAGTACTTGCTCCCTGCTCTGTTCGACCCTGCAACCAACGCTTGTTCCACTCTAGTTTAAAAGGAGGAGCTACCATCAGTAAATGAAATTGTACAAAACAAAATTATGTTAAGAGATTCATTGATTTATTATTCTTTTCATGCCACGGTTGAATATTAATGAAATTTCACAAATATTTTCCTCTTACGAAAATGCTTAATTATTATCCATGAATTCTTTTAGTATTATACAGAGCTTAATTAGTTTCTTGTTTCTTTGTTGATCCCAAATGACACTTATTTAAAATCCAATACTCAGAGTTGCTTAATTATCTATGATACTCTAACTAATTTTTAGACAAAACCATCTCAAACTCGCAAGTCTCTTGTCCTAATGTAATGGAATTGTAGATTCAAAGTGTACCATCAAATAATTTTTAGAAATAATAAGCATTAGAGGGAACATCAAAAAAGGGAGTTGCAGTTTTAACTATTTTTGCTTTAAAGGCAATGGCCAAAAAGTCTTGTAATTTAACAAAAATGGAAAAGAAGTGTTAATGTGGTATTAATCTAGTACTTTAGAACATAAATTTTTTTTTTGAACACAAGAAAATTTGAGAGAAGAGAAAATATTTTTCAAATAATATGTGAGAGTATAACTCTTAACTTATTTAAGTTTGAACTTTTAAGCTGGGTTGGTTAAATTTAAAACATGATTTGAGTATTTACGAAGGCAAAAATGAAATATTGTTGGCCTAGCACATTGTATGTTTCAACATTTTTTTCAATTTTGAAAGAGATTAGGGAAAAAAAAGCACCCACCATTTGAGTTAGGCATGTAAGTGTCGAGCACTAGAATAAATATAAATTTACAGATAAACAAGACTTACCCCAATCGAACGACCACTACCATCCGCGACCTTATTACTATATTCTTTAATCAGGCAAAAACAGGTTTGGTTTTTTAATTTTTACTTTGAGATTTGAGTGGAGCAAGGGAGGATATGATAATTGAATTTAGAACTTGTCTTTCTTATTGCTTAATTAAATAGACGTGAATTATTGATGCCCTTAGCATTTAAGCATGGAAAAAATCCATGTATTAGAATTTATGTTAATCAACTAACAAACTCAAAATTCACAATGACAACTGAAATAATTCAAATCAAAATTTATTATTAAATTAATAATTTCTTAAATTAAAATTTAAGAATTTTAAATTTTTAAATTTAAATTATTAATATTAATTACTCATAACTATTATGTACCAATTATTTTTTTATTTTTTTAACAAAGATAATGGTTAGGAAGTTAGTATGAATTAATTGTTAGTAATTGGAGATTCGATCCTCAGATCGGGTGAACATTCCACTTCCTCAAATAAAGCACGCAGTCATTAGACCGCTTTTGGATAAAATTCACGATGATAGTAAATCTCAAAACTCCAACCACTTCACCCAAACACTTACGATTTGGGGTCGAAGCATTGAATATAAAGTTACCGATCATTTTATATTTCCAATTCGGCGTCACAAACTTTGCTTTAGTTGCTTTAAGTTCAAGCCACAAGCTACAGACAATTTGGTAGGCCCAAGGGATCACCAACACCGCGGCCTACGCACTTACTCAACAACCCAGCGCCGCCCACAGACCGTCACGCACAAACGCGCACATACCCTGACTAATTATTACTGACATCTGGACGCCACTCTCAAATGCCATAAACAAACGGCAATACCACCGCCCATCCAATTATTTCAAAATTCAAACCACTATGGTTCAGAAACTTCCAAGTCCTTCAACGACGCACCCGCTCCACATCCCTTGGCCCCCTCTTTATTTAACAAGCACCGGCCTTCCATTTTGGTGTTTGTGACCCTGAATTTTGTATTATTATATCAAGTCTATTTTATTTGTCATATTTTTTTAAAAAATAATCTTAATTTATTTATTAATTTCAATTTAAGAGATAAAGAAAATTGAATTTATAATTTGAAGTGTATTTTGTTCGTATATTGGTTTTAAATTATTTATTCATTTATTTATTTTATATTACATAATAAAGATAATTCCTTTTTAATTTTTACCCATTTCGTCACATATACTCAGACCCCGAAGTTAGCATTTACGAACTTCATTGCTGCTATTTTTGTAAATGTTGGATGCTCTTATCATTGGCTTCAACCTTAAAACTAATTAATTAGTAGTGTGTTAATCTAAAGACCGCAACAACTCTTGAGTTTAAGCTGGCTTTTTCTAGATTAATTAAGTTAGTAGAAAATAACTATATGTTAGTCTGAATGAAAGGAATTTAATTTATTTTAAATAATATTATGAGTTTGAATCTTATAAATAAAAAAATAAATTAAAAAAAAATTTTTTTTTATAAGATATGATACGATTCGATTGTAAATTAATTAAAATTTAATATAATTTTTAAATATTAAAAAGTTAATACCTAAAGTACTAATTTTCCAAAGAAACAAAGCTGGAAAGCACAAATGGGTCATATTATAAGCAAGATTATTAAATTAAACTTTGGTCCCCATCATCCTACCATTCAAAATTATAAGATTGAAATTATTATCAAAATCATTTTCGGGGAATTGAATCGATCCCTTTCAGTACAGCAATGTTGAAGCTGGTGTCAATCGAGTTGACGTTGGAAGATTCTCTTTTGTAGCGATTTATCATACGTAAGCTATGGCACACCAAATTCACCTCGTCAGTTCTATTACTCCCATTAGATTTGAAAGACCATTGTGTCAATTAAAGAATTTTGAAACTTGATCAATAAGGTAAATAAAGTTATAAATAACATATTCAGTTTCAATGCTATGGTTATTGTTATGTAATAGAATATTAAAATCACACAAAAATATTATAAATGTGTTTGGTTTGATAGAGTTTATTAAGTT